CGGATGAAGAGAAGTCTGAAAGGAAAGCGATTCCGTGATGTGGATGAAGTCAAAGAAAACACGCTAAAGGCTTTGAACAGTATCCAGCCTCAAGAATTCCAGCACTGTTTTGAGCAGTGGCAAAGGCGTTGGGACAAGTGCATTAATGCACATGGACAATACTTTGAAGGGGACTAATATACAGTTCAATAAAAATGCAAAAATAAAAAATAACAAAAATAAATTCCGGTTATTTTTGGGTCCCCCCCCTCGTATTTACAGTCACAGGATGCGGTAGCGTAGCTGGTTGAAGAACTCTACTACAAACCGGAGGGTCGCGGGTTCGATTGTCGATGAGGTCACTGGATTTTTCTTTTTTCAATTGACCTAATCCTTCCAGCAGCACTATGTCCCTGGGATCGGCTCAGCCTCTAACAGAAATGAGTACCAGGATCTTCCTGGGGAGTAAAGGGCGGTCGGGGTGAAGACTAACACCTTTACCGCAATCTGTGAGCCGACTGTCTAGAAACTGTGGGAGCCTCGGCGGCTCACAACCACATGGGCCTCCACGATCTATTACAGGGATAGCTTTACTTTCTTTTTATTGCTATTGGGGTGGGACTAAGTCCCTTGTACTGCGGCCACTTCTGGCCTATTCTACCAGCCCCACATGATAGGTGAGGGTGATTGTGGAACAAGTGTTGGAATGAAGATTGGCAGGGGAAACCGAAGTACTCGGAGAAAACCTGCCCCAGCGCCACTTTGTCCACCACCACAAATCCCACTTTACCAGACCCGGGATCGAACCCGGGCCGCCGCGGTGGGAAGCCAGCGACTAACCGCTTGAGCTATGGCGCGGCCAATACCTTTACCTTTACCGTGATGAGAACCTGAAATCTCACTCGTTTTGGAGAATAACGCAAAACAGTTCCTGATAAATGACTGTGGTGGGAAATTATAATTTAATGGCTGATGTGGAATACTTGATGAAGGTAAAGTGGAACACTGTTCCATATTACGATATATGTAGCACTATTTCCCCAGTACACTTCCAATTACCTGTGACAATGAAATTATATGAAGGCTTATAGTGTGTGCAATATTTTCTTTATTATTTATATAGATGACTCGTCCACTTCGCTTTTCATGATTTAACGGCACAAGAATTCCAGCCCACTGTCAAACAAGAAAGGCTCCTCTGTAGTGCTCAAAACAATAAACAATTGTTTAGTGGAGCCGCTACTACAACCCTAACATATGCAGAGACTATTGCGAATTATTGGAGTAATAAGGAATATTATGTCAAATATATCCCCCATTTTTAAGGTTTAGTTTAGATTTTACTTATAAAAATAAAAATTCCTTATGGCAAACATTTCATACCTCTCCTACACATCAGGCCGTTTAATGAACTGTATATCAGTGTTAAAATACTGTGGTATGTAAACCCGTTACTAGGCAACGACCATGAAGGTAGCAGCTATACAATAGTTGCTGCTAGCCTCCGTTCCCACCTCATGACTCAAGGTACGCGGGTTCAAACCCGGCGGAGGTCGTGGAATTTTTAAGGGCGGAAAAATTCAGGGAACAAGTCCTCCGGGAGAGACTTTAAGCCGTGGGTCCTTTGTCGTAGATTTACGGCACGTAAAAGATCCTCATGTCTCTAGGAGACCTCTGAACAAAATTAGGCAAAAGTTTCCCGCCCAAGTAGTTTCCAATGCCTCCGGTAGATGGGGAAGTATCGGGAACCACTGCCAGCTTCGCTGGCTGAACGGGACAGATAGCGAGCACGAGTACCGGCAGGGTATGGCGACTGGTAGAATATCAAAGAGGGACGTACAATAAACTATTAGTCGCGGTGCATGGGGAAACCCACACCCTCCAATAATAATAATAAGAAATAATTGCTGGTGGCTTTTGAAAACAACGACCGTTCCTAAGTAATCTCTGAAAGAGACACGCACGCAACAAAAGAACAGTTGGAAGTGGTGTTTTCTGTGCTGTCCACGCCGATGTTACATAACGAGGAGCAGGTGCGATTACGAGAGATTCTTGAGACGGCACTTAGAAGAGTATGAATTAATTGTGAGACAGTCGCCGGCCAGAAAGGACGTCAACACGGAAGTTGAGGAAGCTTCGGTGTTGAAGCCGTTACCAGGCGACAACAGGCGAAGATACAACAGACTGAAAAAACTTCACACGTGTTGTACTGAATTGAATAGTGTGGGAATTGGCGATGGTACTATAGTTAATTGAAGTTACGATCTGTAAGTTGCCAATAAATTCAATTACCAATCCAAACTCCGTCTACAGTCACTCATACACGTGACAATATTAAGTAACATTTTGTGTTAACCGCAACAAAACAAAATAATATTCCGTATTATCTTCACTATCAAAGTATACAGCCGATCACAGTGGGCGCGCGGTCTAAGGCATAAACTGTTCTCGCTCTCTCGAACGCTGGGATCGTGGGTTCGAATCCCAATCAAGTAACAGATATCTGTACAATGTGCGATTATTTTGTTTGCGTTGTTCTGTGTAGGCAGAGGCCTTAAGGCGGGCTGATCCCAAGTCCAAGGAGTCCTACCGACTGTGTATAGGGCCAAGGCCCAACAAAGGGTTGTAGAGCCATAACAATAATAATAATAATAATAATAATAATAATAATAATTACCAAAATTAAACACTTACCTGGATCGGTGTGTCTGTAATTTCTTACGAGGTAGCAGAGTTGGAGGGGCAGATAACGTGTGTCGGCTCGCTGGGGCGAGTGCGGACTCGGGGGAGCTCCGGACAAGAACCCCCTTTGGAGTTCCCATCCAACTTCTGAGATGATACTCGCCTTACGGAAATACGGTGTCACTTCTCGAAGGTACTTGACTGTAACATAGAACGAAGTCACCACTGGACGAGCCGACGGACGCAAGGTAGATGATCATCAGTGCCAGCAAGATGGCAGTAGTAGTTTTTTGAGTAGTAATGTTGGTAGTAGTGGTAGTAGTAGTAGTAGTAGTGGCAGGCAGAATGCAGGTAGGCAGCCAATCACAGCGGTGACATACACAGAGAAAGAGAAGAAACCGAGCATGCAGAAGCAAAATAACAACGACAAAAAATAGGAATTACAAAGAATACATACTGTCCAGAAAAAAAAATAACGGTAAGTACAAAAAGCAAAAACAAAACTTAACAAATATAGCGTACAATAAACTAACAAATTAGAAATTATCTAGCAGCACACAAGTCGTTCAACTATGTAAAGGATACTAACAGCAAACCACAACCTTCAAATGCATGGAGGTGTTAACCTAAATACATTCTACCACTTACGAGTTCACAACATATTTCTGTTCACAAAGCCATAACCAGGTACATTAATTAATTAATTTAACTGTATTTCTATCACACAAAACAACTTTAATTAAAATCTTTGAAATCAGTGCTTGAATTGTTAAAAGATTTGTGACCATAGTTAAAAACCAAATACTATTTCTTGGAGGTTGAAAATTTGTTATAACCTGTAGTATATACAGAGTGTCAGGGTGAAAGGTATCCAAAATAAAATAATTATATCTCAGAAACCTTTTACTATACACATTTATGGGTTACACAACTACAAAGGGAAATTATCAAAGTTATTTCTGAATATATAACTTTCTCAATAAATTTCATTGTGGGCTCCCTTGGTGGCACGACAAATATCCAGACGATCCAGCATGTTTGGTGTTAACATAGCCCCAGCGCCCTTTATGCGGGCTTTCATGTGTTGCAGGTCACTGATCTTAACCTGATAGACAGTGTTCTTCACATAACCCCACAAGAAAAAATTCAGTGGGGTTAAATCTGGCGATCCTAGCAATTGATCAACTTCTACCGATCTATCTCCCAGCCATCACTCTGTCCACGTGATTCCTAACATGGTGGCAGAAACGTGGCGGACGCATGCGGGTAAGCAGGACATGAAAAAAGAAAACTTACAAGGTTTTCCTTTCCGATGACATAAACCGGATACGTGTATGACAATCAATTTCCGGGATAATTTTTTTTTATTTTTGGATACCTTTTAACCGGACACCCGATATTTGTGGTCGAAGTACACCTTTATGGATTGCATCCCGTTGTGTGTATGGAATTTATGAACACGGCCGTCGACACAACAATAAATGAAAGAGGTCATTTCTCAAACGAAAACGAGCATGTATTTATTTATATATGCATAGATTTTGTGCTACATGTTTCGACCTATATATAGGTCATCATCAGGCATTCATATATGAACTGTAAATCACGTAACCATATCAAGTTATGGTACACAACTTGATTGTCGCTTCCATCTTCAGGATCGAAAAACAAGCCGAGCAAGAAACCAGGGCTCTCCTTGCCACCTGCTTTCATGCTGGTTCCTTGCTCGGCTTGTTCTTCGGCCCTGAAGATGGAAGCGATGTTACTCCGAAACATCGGTTGACTTTCAACGGACTACAAGGCGTTATATCCCAGAATATATAATTATTCTTCATGATTTGTTTAACTACGCTTCTCTCAGCAAGAGCCAATTTTGTGAAGCATCATCACACAGTTAACATGCGTGATAATGTCCGAGTGAGGCAGAAACATGGTGTGGACAAATAAGTGAATGTGAAGGTGACGACCAAAAAAAAAAAACACACAACTGTCAGACATTAACGAAGTGTGAAGGAAACGCAATTTTAAACAATAACATTGTTTACCTATTTCAAAAAGCCTCCGTCTCTGTGGTCTAGCGGTCAGAGTTCCTGGCTACACATCCCGAGGTCCGGGTTCGATTCCCAGCGCTACCAGATTTTTTCTGAGAAGTAGTGGGTCTGGAACGGGGTCCACACAGCCTCGTGAGGATAATTGAGGAGCTATTTCAAGGAAATAGAGGCTCCGGTCTAGAAAACCGAAATTAACGGCCGTGGGGATTCGTTGTGCTGACCACGCGACACCCTCTATCCGCAAAAGTTGGCACTAAATTCGCCGACAAGCGGCGGTCGATCGGTCGGTATAGTTCGCTTGTGGACTAAAACCACGGAGTTAGTTTGTTTTATTTAACCTTCCTTACTCACTCATGGAGCTGAGCCCTTCTGGAGGAGCCGCCAATTCTGCAGCTACTCAAGAATATCCCAGCATTTTATGGAACCCAAAGGTTTATTACCGTGTTCACAAGAGTCCTCCACTGGTCCCTTCAACAGGTGTTGAAATATACTGTTACAGCCATTTAAGGGTTTATCCCCGATAGCGTAGTTGGTCGAGGCTCTATGCTACAAGCAGGAAGGTCGCGGGTTCGATTCGCTATGAGGTCACTGAATTTCTCAATTGACTTAATAATTCCATCCGCACTATGGCCCTGGGGTCGACTCAGCCTCTAACAGAAATGAGTACTAGGAATCTTCGTGGGGAAAAATAGCGGCCGGTGGGTAAGACTGACCTCACCGCCATCTGTGAGCCGATTGTGCAGAAAATGTGGGAGCCTCGACGTCTCACAACCCTATGGACATCTACGGCATGTTACAGGGATAGCTTTACTTTTTTACACCATGTCTTAGAAAAGAACACTACAGCCGTATTCCCGGAATGTAAAGTTTATTTACATTACTTACGACAAACCACGTAGCTTTATAAATTTAATGTTTCTAAATTTTTCAATGAATAACGTATAAATATGTAAACATAGTTAAGAACGACGGTTTATCATATGTAAATAAGACACGCTATGTATCACAAGAGTAGATTTATCTACCGAATGGCGTGAGCTCCGTCGATCTCCAGGGAAATCCGTCCATAAGAATTGCTATTTAATGCAATCTTGTACGTTGTTCTTATGTCAAAACATACGAAGGGCATACAGCAATCATTCGATATTTAGCTCCAGCTAATACAGTGGATGTCAGACGACAGTACCCGAGTTGTTAGAGGAACTGACATCTAATTTTGGAATCCGTGTTATTAGTATGAATACGGTATTCATGCAGTGACTAAAATACGCACACGAAATGTATGGTAATGTTCAGATTGTGGTTCAGCTTGTAAAATACTCATCAAGTCAGGAACATACAGTCTATTCACAGAAGGTTATGGACTAAACTCCATCTAGTACTGTAACTAGGGTGCGTCATCTTCAGTTATGACGTATACCATTACGTTATAATTAGAAATTTTGTATCCTTTTTCCCCCATAGGCTCTACAGCACCCCTGGGCCCTGGCCTCCGATTTTTCAGTTTCATGATTATTTTACAGACTCCTTGGACGAGTGATCAGCTCATCGCAAGGGCTCTACCTAAACACAGGGCAACACAAACTGAATAAACATATTCCAAACAACCATGCCTTGTGTGGGATTCGAATCCACGATCCCGGCTTCCGAGCGAGTGAAGACAGTAAATGCCTTAGACCGCTCGGCTACCGTGACCGGTTCATTCGAAAGTTACTAGATTATATTTACAACATACTTCTGGTATTTATACGCTGGTACGAAATTTGAACATAGTTACAGGGGAATTTTCTTCCGTACGGCTGCCTACACAACGTGTGACGTACTATGGTTCGTAGAGCAGATGGTCTTATCCTCTGTACCTGCACACTGCAGCAAGATGTGTTTCAGTACGGTCTCAGATACTGTAATTGAAACATTTCACAGACACCTGCATGACATGAAAAGCTGTGTTGTTGTTGATCTATGGCAGTCTCTTTCTGAGTGGCGTCTATTATTGTCTGAGCGTGTTCTGGTGTGCCGTCGCGAGAATGACGGAGCTTGAATTAGACCAATGAAAGAACATTACATTTCTTGTTAAACTTGGCAAGAGTGGAGGCGAAATCAGACAGATGTTAGTGCAAGTTTGCATGAACTTATTTTTGTTCCAGAAGATAAAGGAAATATTGAAAGGAAGGCATTCTGCTGACATTGATGACAACAGGAGTAATACGACGGCAGCTCTGAAGGTCATTCCAAGAAACCACTTCCAAAATTGTTTTGAAAGGTGGACTAGGAGCTGGCATCGGTGCATAGCTTCACAAGGGGAGTGAGTACTTTGAAGGCGACCACAGTGATATTCAGCAATGAGGTATATGTAGCATGTTTACGGCTATGAGTTCGCGAACTTCATTGTCAGGCCAAGTACTTGGATGGGCAATGCCAACAGAAACTTCTGTGGGGGAGGGGGGGGGGGTAAGACTGGGTTATATAGGCAGTAGAGCACAGGCACACGAACTAAGTATAAAAATGGTTGAACAACCTTATATAAACATGCATGAGGCCAAGCTACTAACATATAACCAATGCAGATATACAAATAACAACAAGCCTACACTACAAAGTGCATTCTCTACAGGAAGCAACAACTACAGTGCGTTTATTTAGACCTGGCCGTTCCCGACAGAGTGAGCAGTGGATTTGGTGGAGTCCGCCAGTGGATGTAAGGAATGGTGTGTAAGGGTTACAACAGGGCCTTAGCTACAGTGCCTATCTCTCCCTCCCTCTCTCATACAATGAAACTGCTACCGCTATCCCACCAAGTCTAGCTTTACTCTCAGTTCTCCTACCGCGCAGACAATGCGGCCAGGTCAAAAAGCACGGGCTGTAGACATCCGTATTTAGAACAGAATGACATAAACAGTAAGGTAAATAAATGATTACGTACTTACATAGAAGTTGCTTCCAGGAACAAATAATAGAACTACTTTACAATATGAAATAGAGTTTTTTATTTGACTTTCAATATTAAATGCACTAAGCTCCAGGTCCATTTAAAAAGAGTGAATACAGAGAGGACTTTCACGTTAATTTTACAGATATTTTTGTTCCCATATATTTTTGGGACTGCTAGATTATTTCACTGACAAATCAACATTGCTCCAAAATTCAATATCTGTACTGCAAAGAACACGAACG